ATATGGCTAAGCCTCTTACTTCTGAAGCTTATTAGGTATGACTTAGAATGCTCTATTGACAGAAAAATTGGACTTTTTTATTTTTTTTTTTTTACTTCACAGTAATATTTGACTAGCATATCAGGGTCACCTTGCTGCCCAGAACAGATGAGGATTTTGAGAACATTACATATTTTATGTGAAGTAGGTGCATGTTGCTTCTATAAAACAAATTCATGTGCAATGAACCATTTCTAGGTTGATTCTTGACTTGAGTCGTTCATACATAATGCCGACTGCATTATTGTGTTCCCTTCTCTATGCGGTGCTACGTTGTTTCTAGCAAGCTTTGATATGCATGCGTTACTTGATCTAGTTCCTATACAAAGAGTGAATGTGATCATAATCCCTTAGTTGATTAGAAGAATATATTTATTCCAGTTCATACATTCCTAGAAAAGTTGATTTGAGGATCAACTAGTTGTTTCAAGTTGGCGCCTAAGATATATGATGAGTTGTCAGTTGTTTAAGCTTCTTTCTTCTGAAGCTGAGATGCTAAGATGGATTAGAAAGGCTACTGCTGGCAATATACTGAACTTTTCTATGGAGATTTAGTTTGAATCAACCTTCAACTAATATAATATTAAGGTGTCATTGTCAACCCCTGTTATCTAAAAAGGCTAATTGAATGCTTAAAATGCTTAGTGCTAATCATATTTTTGTCAGGCATCCTTATACTACCGTTGTGAGAGTACAGTTAACTCTATTCATTTTTTTTGTTAGAAAGGATTGGTTGAGAAAGACTTGAAATGGCTAGTTCTCTAAGCTATAAATTTGGATTTATTGAGATAAGGTGCACCACTATCTTGATTAGGATACACTCCAGCCTCTTCAATGGTCTTTTTTCATTTGTCCTTGGCAATGATTTGGTGGTAAAGTTGGTAAAAATCATCAAAACTTAAAATTTCTCAAAATTTACCTAAATTTTCACTTAATTTGAACTCGATTGAAATTCGAGCTGAGTTGATTTCATGTTGCACCCAACTTGCTTGAATATTGTTGGAATCAACTTGAAATATGAATAGAAATGTCAATATATACATACTTTATAATGTATATAGTATATTAAATGAAATTGGCTAAAATAGTAGATAAAAAGAAATTTTGTGCAGACCCAAAATCAGCTTCCATCTGATTCTCAATTGAAGCTTTCAAGTTGAATTGACTCGACTTAAATAAATTTTTGGTTTAAACTTTAGTTGTGATTAAAATTTTTTATTTCATGTTGAAACAAATTTGCTTGAACGTGACTCGATATCAACTCTAACTTGCCTTTGGGAAGGTTAGGTTAGAAAAAGAATCCCTCACTTAGTATCTCTTGGATCACCAAAGCGCGTCCTAATTGGTACAATTTTTGTGTGCATACTGTCAATCTGGCTAATTAATTGGACACTTCAAATGTCAATTTGGCGAATTAGTTGGAGGTCTACAAGTGTATTCATATATACAGAGAAGGCTTCTGGAAGTGGGCCATCCATTTTTTCTTGCGGAAGTAATATCCCAATGACACTTGAGTGCCTACAACTGCTTCTAACATAGATTATCTTATTGGTTTGGTTGGTTTTCTTTCCCATAATTTGAAAATTTTCAGCCTTGCTATCTTTTATGACAAGTTGAAACTAAGTCTCATGAGAAAAATTGACAAATTTACTCGACATGCTATTGATATTTGACAACAGACAAAAGTAGCACAAACCTGACCTTAAGCAGCCAAGTTTAGTCAAGCATCTAACTCTTTGCATCTATCCCTCAGAATTTGAAAGAGAAGCAGTGCATGAGTTTAACATAAACATGAGGTACATAAATTGAAGAAGTTCAATTAATCGTGAATATATACATATAATTAAAGAAAAAATGTATGAAATAACTTATTTGAGATTATAAATCTTAGATTTATTAGTGAACAAACTAGCAAGCTTGTAGTTTCCTTTTCTATGATACCCAAAATGGTTCGGTCCTCATCTGATTTAGTATTGGGCAAATGGGGTTTGGCTATGTAATAAAGATAAGGTGCGGAGCTGACATTTCGCAATAAAAGTAGTTAGATTATATTTGCAAAATAAATATCTCTCTATATTCAATATAAGTAGGTGCTCACAGATAAATGTGTGCATACATGAATGTGTTTGTGTTTAAATTTATTAACCATGGAAAGTTGGTCTACCTGATCAAAGTCCAATTGTATTAGAAATTTGGGGGAAAGATACAATATTGGTAATGGGTGTTGGGTCATATTAATTAAACAGTGTTATAATAAGGTTCAAACCAGGCTCTTTAAGTGCTATTATAAGCTAGAAACATTCATTGCAAATCTTACAAGGTATAATCAATAATGGTAATGCATGTATATGCCCTTGCTGTCTTAAAATATTTCAGCGCGTGTTCGATTAATATAAATTCCATTCGTTATCGAGCAAAATTGAACTTTGAGCATTATCAAAATGTAATTCGGTAACAGGTGACCTACTTCCATATTACGACTAGCTCAATACTCTTCATGGGCTCTGAATTACATTTCTGATGTTTGATTCTTGGTCTTATAAAATGCTAAATAATAGACGGGTGTCCATATTTCTTTAAACTTAGAACAATTAGAGTTCAATTTTTTCTTAAAATTTTTTATGCTATTTACATCTTGAGGGCTTTGGTTGTCTAGGCCTTGCAAATGACATTTTAGTGTTTTCCCAATGCACGCCAGGTTTTTGGCTCCCTGTTATTTTTTTCTTGAAATGATTATTGTTTCTAACCAAAATCTATTTGCCCTTCCATTATATTGATACTTTGTTTTAGGCAGTTAAGGTGTTTAGCTTATGGTTTCTGGTTTTGATATGCTGTTGTAGGTACATCATACATTTGCTACTGCTGGATCCGATGGAGCTTTCAACTTTTGGGATAAAGATAGCAAGCAAAGACTAAAAGTATGCTTATTATAAAGGACATTCGCTCTTATTTTATTAATTTGTTGAGGACTTGTTTTAAAAAAATATAGATGAAGTGTGCATCTGCTTTCTTTCTTATTTCATTATTGCTTTCTTTTAGTCCATGGTATAATAGATCTTGCTCCTCTTTTTTGGCCTTTTTGTTCCGGTAAGTTAAATAGAGTAACAAAGTTTTATAAGGTTCTAGTTTTTTTGTTTCTAAATATTTTGATATTCATGTGATGAATATATAATATTGAAGACGTAGATGTGACTTCTACATACCCAGTATGAAATAAGAGATACTGAGTTATTACTGGTGTCTCTATTTGGCGTCTTTTTAAATTCAAGCATTGAAACAAGGTGAAGGGTGAGCAGCTATAGCATTTGATGTGAACTCGACGCATGCAATACGATGTTCAATAGAGCTTGGAAGGAAAAAAGTTGCTTTACACTAGTGTTGTCAAAAGTGCTGGGCACTATATGGCTTCCTAATGCTGAGGGCATTAGGTGCCTCTTAGTATTTGCCTGAACACCATTAAGCGCTTAAAAGCATACACCAATACTATTACTTAGATTGATGGCTTATCCAACTACAAATGAAAATAAAATTAAGTTTAGGGCTTTCAAAAATTAGATTTCCCAAATAAGTTGAGGAGATTAGTCGAAAAATCAAATAATTTATAAAAAAAAAATTTACTCCCATGATTGGTATGGCCCAATTGCACATCAAGTGATATTAAATAAAGCTTTATAATTATTCCCTTATAGTTTTAAATAGATTATGTTCTTCCCTGAATTTTCATAGTCATTTTTGCATGATGAATGACCTAAATCTTTATACAATGCCCTAATTTATGCCGTCCTTATGGGTACCACCATAACCCAACTTTATAATGGGTTGAAAGAAGCAACAAAATTCAATCTAATTAATATGGTCAAGTTCTTCCATCTTCTTCATATTTACATATAAGTTAACTAACATTGCATATATCATATCAGAAGAGCTAAAGGGAAGCAATTAGATTGCATGTGTGTTTTCTTTAAATAAGATACCTTAATTTTATTTTGAATATGATATTTTAGGTTCGACAAGTGATGTTAACCTTTGGGTTGAATGAAGAAAAAGTTTGCCAAGTAGGAATAAGTAGTGTGTATGTATTAGAGACAAAATAGATGTTATTTACCAATGTTGTAAAAATCAGACCGGATATAAAACCAAACAAAGAATAAGTTCACATGAATACCCACATCTACCAAGAAACCCCATATGGAGAAGCCTCTAGCTTGCGATTCACTTGTTGCCTCATCTACTTTTTGGGCGTCAATTATCATATTTATTTCATTTTTAAAGACGTATAGGGCTGAAGAAATGCAAAAGAAATTATAAACAATTAGACGTCTCTCATGTTTGTGTTATGTTATGCTCATATGCTTATGTCGTTATCAGTGCGTCATAGGTTATACCTATGGAAGTTCACCTATGTGCAATAATGCGAACACGGGATAAGTGAGTAATGGACTTGAGGTGTGTACATGCTGGGTTTGCATCTCGATGTAGGAAATAGACTAAGTAATGAGCAATAGGAGGTTTAAGTATTTAAACTTAGTGATTCAAGTACACGTGTGTTGAACATGTTAGAGACATGCATACATGTCTAACTTGCATGTCAAATAAATCGTTCATTTTTTTAATTGAACGTGTATGATCGACATGATATGTGTTAGAGGCATATCTCACTTATGTCGTGTCCTGAATGTGTGAAAATGCATGCTACTTTATAACAAAATATCAGTACAACTTACTATATGACTAATTCCTGGATTTTGTTTCAAAAAATAACTTAAAAGAATAGAGGATTTCCTCGAAGTTTCAGAATTCTTTTTGACGGGAATAAAAAAAACTCTTTAAATGAATATTGATTAAATAAAAAAAGCTGCTTAGCTAAGTAATGTTTTTAGTGAAATGCTGTGTCTCCATGTGAGTGAGGGTATTCCATCATAAGGCAGTAGTTAGAGTATTTGCGATAAAACTCGATCAACTTGAAAAGGAAAAACAAAGTAATGTTTCCATAAATTCACATGTTGATGAAGGAACTTGACATACAAAGCCATCTGTCTTACAAGCAATTAATTATTCTGTGCGAACATCAAATGCCATCTAGAGTCCAACCAGAATGAGACACACACCCCTGTGCTTGGTACCACGGCTCAGAACTGCTCTATACGCAGCTCGATAACACTGACGTGGCACATTCTGATTGGTCTTCTAACGGCGCATCCGGCCTCTGCACTGAATAATTTCTCCTTACAAGATGTACTCGTTGTGTACTCCTTTTTCCAGTACACGATGAATACACAGCAGTGTATTCGTGTTATCCATATGTAGACCACTTACATACATAATCAGCACGTAATAAATTCTCCTAATTCCTTGCTTGAGTCCAGCTTCTTCCAGGTTCCTTCAAGCTTAAACTTCTGGCGACCTCCCTCATCTCAGCTGAACGGCCCCAAAGATCATGGCCAGCATAAACATTTGAGAGAGAAACAAATCCTGATGCATCTTTTCTAGAAAACTTCTGCAAATTACTCAAAGAAAATCTACCCATGGATACATTCTGATGCATCACAGATGCCCCTAGCATGGAATTCCATATTTTTTCATCTGGCTCATAAGGCATTCCTGAAATCAACTGCATAGCTTCATCAAACAACCCAGCACGGCAATATATATCTATCATGCAACAATAGTGCTCTAAAAACGGCTTTAATCCATGCTTCTGTTCCATGGCTTTAAAAATACTATTTGCATGGCTGACTAAACCAGCATGTCTACAAGCAGAGAGAACACCCAGGAATGTAATCTCATTTGGCTGCTCCCCCGACTCCAACATCAGATTAAAGAGCTGAAACGCTTCATCAGTTCTTCCATTATTCCCACAACCCACAATTATTCCGGTCCAACAGACTATGTCCTTCTTAGTTGAAGCTTCAAACAATCTCAGAGCATATTCTATGTGACCACACTTAGAATATACATCAATGAGAGAAGTAACGATAACACTCTCCATTTCAAACCCACCCTTTATGCATAAAACATGGAGCTGTTCACCACTTTGAAGCCATGATAGAGCTGCACAAGCTTTTAAAATAATGGAGACAACGAAGTGGTCTACTTCACATTGAATACTTATCATATCCCTAAATACAGCCAATGCAAACTCGTTCATACCTTTCTGAACACACGAAGTTATCAATCCAGTCCATGCAACTAAATCCTTTCTGTGAAGCCCAAAAAATATCTTCACGGCATCTTCCAATTGTCCACATTTTGCATAAAGATCCACTAGGATACTTCCGACAACATGATCTACATGGTATCCTTTGATAATTATTAACCCATGCACCTGAAGCCCAACTCTGATAATGTTCAAGTTAATACAAGCCTTTAAAGCGCTCGAGAGGGATAATGTATCAAGCTCGACTTCTGAACTATGAATCTTTGAAAGCAGATATAGAACACAGCTGTCGTATCCATTATTAGCATAGGCAGAAAGCATTGAATTCAGATGGGACAATCTGTCAACAAGTGACAAGTTGTAATTAGAGCACTCATCAAACAACTTCACTGCAGCATCTACATGGCCACAATTTCCATACATGTTAATGAGAGATGATACCATACATAAGCCACATCTAATGATGTAGCTATGGAGTTGTTTTCCCATTCCACTCTCACTTATGCTACCACAAGCCTTTAGAGCACAAGGTAGGGTAAAGCAATCAAGCTTAAATCCATGTTTGTGCATCAAAGTAACATAATGTAATGCTTTAGGATTCTCCATACTTGCAAATCCCATAATCAAGGTGTTAAATGAGACAGCATCAGGCATGGAGATTTCACAAAACAGATTCTCTGCCTCAATCATTTCCCCCACATTACAATAACCACAAATCATGGTATTCCATGAAGCAGAATTGAGAGAAATTTTCATATCAAATATTTTCCTAGCTTCTACCAGACTGCCACATTTAACATACATATCAATGACTGCATTTATCAGCGCAGTATCAAATTGCAACTGAAATTTTTGAATTTGTTTGTGCACCCACTTCCCCATGTCAAGATCCCCTAACTTTGCACAAGCTTTTAAGGCAACAGAGAAAGTATAGCAATTAGGCTCTTCCAATCTGCCATCCAACATTTCCACAAACATTTTTAGAGCTTCAGCTGGATTTCCCGCAAGAGAATATGATGATATCAAAGCTGTCCACGTTACCACATTCCTTTGAGGCATTTCATCGAACAACTTTGCTGCATCGTCATAAAGGTTGAAGCCAGCGTACATAGATATCAAGTTGTTTGAAAGATAAACATAACGATATAATCCAAGCCTGATCATCCGGGAATGAAGTGCTTCTCCATTGCCGAGAGTCTGAGTTTGTCTGCACCATATTAAAGCTCTTGTGATTGCTTCAGAATCAAGAAAAGACCGTGAAGGGAAACCAAAGGAATGGTCTGTAGAGAAGTTTGATGCTCTTGTATTGATAATCTGAAATCTCGAGAACCCAAAAATTGATCTCCAAAGCCTCGCTTGCATTTGAACACCATTTTCATCGAATACATTTTAAATTTTTAAGCCCGTCGTCTGCATCTCACTAATGTCTACAGAGTTTCGCTCAACGGTCAACTGATTTGAAAGATCTACTGTAAATTATGCTTAGAGAAAATGTTTTCAATATGATAAAAGATTAAAGTTTGGAGAGAGCGTGGATCGGAGTGCTTGTAGATGGAGACGAAGCAGGTCTTCTTCCAGCTGTTTGGAAGAGGCGAGGTCAACATAAGTGGTAATTGGGGTCAGGACCGGATCGATGGTGTTGGAGTTAGGGCTTTGACTTGCAGAATGGAAATCTCTGTTGTTGCATGAAAAGGAGCCGAAGAGAGGAGGGCATCGCTCGACAGTGGGCAAGATTAGAGAGGAGGGGTCGTGAGCTTTTGAGTACGCAAAAAAATAGAGACGAGGCCTCTCATTTGTTCATCATTTAATGACCAACAGAGGAGATCATGGGGAACATTCGAAGATGCAAAATCAAACGTGTAGAGATCACACGAGCTTTGTGGATGACGAGCTTTTATGGATTTCGTGTGTCGAACAAGTATGAGTTTATAAAAAAAAAATTTCATTTGTATACAAATCAACAAATTGTAATCAACCATAAATACTAGTGAATCATTTTAACTTAGGCCAAGCCTCATGATTTTTTCCCTTTTCAAGATGTTCACGTAAATATTTTGGAGTTTCTTATGACTCTCACACGCCTCTCTCTTTATATCTATATATGTTGGATCTTCATTTAAAGCTAAGACATAAGCTCTTTCTCTCTCTATCACTAGAAATGTTTCAGTACACAGCAGTAGTGTACTTGACCGTTTTTTGTTTTATTATTTTGTCAAGTTTATAAGTGAGATAATAAACAATAATACATTCAATATCTCTTTTTAGGTGGGTACAAAAAATCTTGATTTTAAAGAAATTTGATGATCTTATTATTAACTTTGAATATATAAGTTTTTTCTCAACCATAATGAATAACATCTATATTATATAGCTAGGGTTTATTTACTAAGATATACACTATATATATGGGTAGAACATCACACTAGATTTTTTTTTTTTTTACTTTAATTAAGATGAGTACTTGAAAGGAATGGTCTGTAGAGAAGTTTGATGCTCTTTGTATTGATAATCTGAAATCTCGAGAACCCAAAAATTGATCTCCAAAGCCTCGCTTGCATTTGAACACCATTTGATTAAAATTTGTCCATTCTTATTATATAATTTAATGTCAAGCTTGTAATGCTTGATTTTAATCAAATGTTTACTAGATTTGTAGCTAATCCTACTTAAATAACAAGAATGTGATGATAATATAGCCTTTTTCATTTTCGTAGTGTTGATAGTTTAATAATTTTCTTTTGTGCTATCAGTTCCTTTGTTATCACAAAAATTACAAGTATTTATTTTATGGAATGGAAAAATTTATCTATTTAATATGCTTTTAATTACAAAGGAGCCATTATTTTAGGCGAATTATTTCATTTTTATTATTTTGTCATTGTCATGATAGCATGTCAGCCCATATCAAATAAGTATCGCATATGAACCCTTTAATGACTTTTATTACTTTCCTAGCACTTTCAAATGAAGGGATAAAGAGGAATATTAGGGTAATAAGTGTAATGGGTAGTTTAGTGGGTCATTGTGGTCTTGATAACTGGAATGATGACATTCCTTAGAAGGCTTCCACCGTGGAGGACGTCACTTGTATCTCCTATTAGATGAGCACCCTTCGAGAATGGTGCATATTGGGTCATTTCTCTTGGAAGAGGAAAAGAAAAAGTATGTGAATTTTTTGAAGTAATCGTGCACTACCTCAAAGTAAACGTAACATGCAAGTCAGTTATTTAGAAGAAATAGAATTTTATTTTGGATCACTAACAAGCAATCGAGTAGGAGATTGATAAACTTTTGTAGGCTGGATTTATATGTGAAGTACAATATCCCACTTTGCTGGAGAATGTAGTCATGGTATGAAAAGCTAATAGAGTTAGGTAAATAAGTATAAACTATACAAGCCTCAACAAAGCAAGCCCAAGGATAGTTTTTTTGCTTCCTCGTATTAACCAGTTAGTCGATAACATGTTCGTACATCAATTGTTGAGCATCATGGATGTATACTCTAGTTATAATCAAATAAAGATGAATCCTACATATGAGGAGGCAATAACTTTTCAAAAAGGTAAAGGGTTATACTATTATATAGTCATGTCATTCTGAGCTAGAGCCACAACTAATAAATAAGGTTTTAAAAGACCCTATTGATCTCACTAAGGAAGTATATGTTGATGATATGTAAATGAAAAGCTTTGAAAAATCTTAATATATCTTTGACTTGCAACAATGCTTTCTTATGATACAATGCTACAATAAATGACTCAACCCTGTTAAGTATTCTTTAGGAGCCATCGAGCGATTGAGGCAAATCCTGAGAAGGTCAAAGATAAAAGATATGGTGCCCCTAAGAAATGTTAAGGAAGTCCATAGACTAGATGAAAGGATTGCATCATTATTTTATATCCTAACTCTCTCAGGGGACAAATATCTACCCTTCTTCAATATACTCAACAATTTTCATAGTTCAATATTCAAATAGGCTTACACATCCTTCGAACAACAATAAAAAGTATTTAGCATCACCACCGCTACTTTTAAAACTAATATAGGGAGAAAAGTTTTACTTGTATTTTGCTATTTCCACCCATGCTATCATCTCCATATTGGTTCGAGAAGAAAATGATGTGCAATGTCTTATCTATTATGTTAATAAGATATTATCCAAAATAAATGGACATTATCCACTATTAGATAAAATAGTGTTGGTATTAGTCTACTTAACCCGAAAACTATTCTCGTACTTTTAAGCCCATATAATTGGGTTCTATATAAATCTACCTTTGAAAAATATCCTTCAAAAACTAGATCATCTATTAGATTAATCAAGTGGTAGGTGGAACTAGGAGAATTTGGCATCCATTAATTGTCTATGTCTGATATCAAGTCTCAGGTACTTGCAATTTTCTTGGTCAAGCGCGTCATCCCCTTCTCTGATGAACCACTGGATACTTCTTCTATCTGGTACTGGACATTATATGTCGATGGAAATTCTAGGAGTTCTAGCACTGGTGTTGGAATTTTTTTGATCTCCCCATAGCAAACTACCATTAAATATGGGATTCAATTGAAGTTCCCTACAATAAACATTGTTGTTGAGTATGGGGCTCTTATTATTGAGTTAAGGTTGGCCATCTACTGAGAAGTACATAACTTGGTGATTAACAATAATTCATAGTAGGTTGCCTCCCAAGTGGAGGGAGAGTTTAACTCATATAACTCATAATTGGCCTAGTACTGTAAGATTGTGAAGTCACATTTGGTTCATAGAGGGAAGTACCAAATCATCCCTATCCTTCAGGAGTAAAATGCGAGAGTAGATGCACTCTCTAAGCTTGCCACATCAATAATTGAGGACCTCTACAAGAGAAATTGTATCAAAGAGTTACATTTAATGAGCATCTAAGGTCCTTGGGTCATACAAGAGATTGACGAGCCAAGATAGGACTCTTGGATCGATCCTATCTTACCCTTCTTATATGATTTTTACTACCTGAAGATCCTATACTTACAACACAAATTTGAAGGCATGTAGCAATTTTCAGTATTATTTGTGTAGAGTTCTACAAATGAGCCATCATTAGATCATATCTCAAGTGCCTTCCACCTTTAAAAGCTAATTATGCACTTTAGAAAGTTCATTTGAGAATATGCAAAGATCACTTGGGGGAAGAGCACTAGCTTCAAACTCATAAGGCAAGGATTTTACGGGCCCACAATAAAGCATAATGCTCAAGAGTATACACAAAAGTGCAATAATTGTCAATTGTATTCCAATCTCACTCGTCTACTCTTCACGGAACTTTCATCATTGCAAAGCCCATATCTTTTTTTCCTAATAGGTGATAGATATAATGGGACCATTTATCTACCAAATAATAAATATTCATCATCCTGGTTGTTGATTACTTCATCAAATGGGTGGAGGATGAACCTATGGCAAAAATCATAGAGGTCAAAGCTAAATAATTTATATGGAAGAATATAATATGTTATTTTATCATTCTTGCAAAGATCACTGTCGATAATAAAACTCAATTCACTGGAAAAATCTTTGCACCATTTAGTAAAGATCTCCATATTCAAGTGGTGCATATTTTTATAGTCCATCCTAGGGCAAACGGATAGACGGTGATCATAAATTGAACTATACTGATAGGATTAAATACATACTTGGGGAAGGCTAGGGGGTAATGGGTTGATGAACTCCCAAAAATCCTCTGATCTTATCATACCACTTCTAGAACTCCAAAAGGTAAAACCTCATATAATATTTTCTTTGGCACAGAATCCATTATTCCAGTCGATATTAGAGTCCCAAGCTTTAGTATTTAGACTTTTAATTTCTATAATAATGAGGATAAACTCAGAAGAAATTTAGATCTCCTTCTAGAAGTAAGAGAGGTATTTATATGCTCAACATTATTGCATACCATCAATGGATAGCCTGTCATTATAATTGAAGGGCAAAACCTAGATGTGTCTTGATTGGTTATTTAGTATTGCATAGCATTGAGGTAAATAGAAAGGGCCCTTAGCGTTATAAACTTTTTCCCCTTTGGGAAGGTCCTTACATGGTAGCAGTCATGGTAAAACCAAGAACTTTCAAACTGAAGTACTTAAATTGAAAGATTCTACTTCAAACTTGGAATATAAAAAATCTCTGTAAAACTCTAAGTAAAGGATAATTGTATTACTTATTTTAGGTGTTGTATGTCTTATGAGTTAAGTGTTGTATATAGATTGTATTGTCTAAGTTGATTGTAACCTCAATGTCCTTAAGTTATATCAAAGAACTATAGTATTATTTAATACACTAAAACTTTCTTCACTCATTTATTTATATTTTCTTCTTTTCCAAGTAATATTGTAATAATAATTTCAGGCACACTATGAACTCCAATCTTAAAATCCTTGATTTGAGAAATATACAATCTTTATTGCATCTCAATCACTAGATGATCAATCCTAGTTTTATTTAGTCTGACCTCTTCCAAACAAGTTAAAAGTTGTCAAGCAATGTTTTAATTATTAACCTCTAATAGGTTAAACAACTTTGGAGGATGTGAATTAAATCATAAAATTTTGATTGGAGAAATATGTAATCTTTATTATATCATAATCACTAGATAATCAATCTCAGGGGGGTTCGATCATGCATCTTCTATACATGTTAAATGATATTAAGCAATGACCAGCAACCTTGGATAGGCTAAGTGCCCTAGGTGGACAAAAATCAAAATTCACTTAGGCTGAGTGAGTTTACGGAAATGTTTTTCACCATTCAACTTAGAATAAAAGCAATCAACAACTCTTTTCTATATCATAAAAGACAACATACACTATATATGAACACAAATATATGACATATATAATGATCACTAAGAAAGATAAAGTAATATAACTTGTGGTAAATAAATATTATACAACCTCGACAACCTCATCGTTATTGGAAAAGACTCTCCTCGGCTCACTCTCATTATCATTATCTGTTGACCTCATTTTTGTATGAGGTCACTTGGACCAATCTTGCCCCTAAATTAATTCAATTCCCAAATCAATCTAAACTCTAGGATTCTCCTAGATCCAGACCTTAGGATCTACCCAGATCTTAGAAATCCAAACCAAAATTCAAGGCTAAAAGGGCAAGTCCTAAAAGCCTTTTTCAGCAAATTTTCAAACACTTCAAAAACCAATCAAATGATCTCCGATTCAGAGTCTGTTAGTTGCATACTGATGGGACATGTCTCTAGAGACAACCCTCCAAATTTGAGCCCATTCTGAGGTCTCTAACCTCAAAAACTAAATCAAAATCCAAAGGCTGTAAAACCTTCAAATATTTACAGCCTATGCCACTGGACCTGTCCCATAGAAGTTTCTGACCTTAGAGCCTTCACCAAAGCCTCTAGTCACTTCTAGACCCTTAATCCTGATATGGTGAACAATAAACTACATTTTGGTTAACCCATTTTGACCCCCAGTTGACCAGGGGCCAAAATGACCAAAATACCCCTTTGTGGCTCAAATAGGGATTTCAAACCAAATGACATCCAGATTGAGTGCAACCACCT